CCAGCATGTATGAGGTTTTGTCCCAAGCAGTGCCAAAAAATAATAACTAAAAGTTTATTTACTGTACTACTATAGTGCATACTATTTTTAGAATTAAGTTTAATAAATGTATATAAGACTTCAGATCTGAACATTACAAAATATTGTTCATAGAAATTGAAAAACATCTACAATGGAGAAACATTCTGTGTTCATGGTTTAGAAGAACAATTTGTTTAAGAGACTGATTCTCTCAAAAATTGATCTGTACATGAAGTATAATTCTATTTCATATCCCAATAAGCTTTTGGGTAGAAATTGACAAGTTGATTTGAGAATTGTGTGTTTGTGTGTACTGGGGATTGAACCCAGGGTATTTTACCACTGAGCTACATCCCGTCTTTTTTTTTTTTTTTTTTAATTTGAGAAAAATTCTTGCTAAGTTGCTGAGGCTGTCTTGGAACTTGCCATATTCCTGTATCAGCCTTCTGAATTATGGGGATTATTGTGCATGGCACTGATTTGATATCTAATATAAAATGAAATTACTAGAATGGTCAAAACCATTTTAGAAATGGTGAACTTAACTATTGGTTTTCATATCTTAACTATAAAATTAGCAATGAAGACTGCAATATTGCCATAAGGAAATAATTCCGTGGAATAAAATAGAGAATCTGGAAGTTCTGTATATATGTTTAATTGATTTTTGCTTAAAGATGCCAAGGCAATTTAATGAGAAAAGGACTGTCTTTTCAAAAGCTGAAAGAACTACCACTTTAGAAAACTATTTATCACTAATATTAAATATACTCATTCTGTGGTCCTCACCTTCCTGTAAAAATGTGGCCAGCAAAGAAAATTGTGTTTGTTTTCTCTTCTTTCTGCCTCATTTTCCTTTCCTTTTTACTCCTACTTCATTTAGGCTTTCCATTCAAGTTTTAGCATGCAGCAAGTTTTTCCAGTTTCTCTTTTCTAATGGTTCCTGGCAGAAGATAACTGATATGAGTGACTCACAAGAGCTAGTCCTCACAAAGTGTTTTGATTTGGGATCACACATGTTCTTGAAGCCATAAGGACTCATTCCATCTCTAGTGCTATGAGGAATGTCAAAATAAATAAATAAACAAACAAACAAACAAACAAATAAATAAATAAAGGAAGAAGAAGGGCAGTAATAATCATAAAGCTTTCACTTTTGGCTAAGTAAAATGAAGTGCAGGTTAAAAAAATCTTTAGGAGGTGAAGTATTTGTTGCATCGGATTAATGTAGATACATTTGCAATTATCAAGTTGTAGGAGCTGCCAAAAAAGAAGTAAATTCAGATTTGATGGGTTTTCCATAGCAAAGGAATTATAGTCAAACAAATATATAATCAAGGTCCACACATTTAGCAGTTGGTGGAACTCATTTTGATTTGATTTTCTGACTTTGGAATATGAGCCAATTCATGGTGATATCTGAAAGCATCTGAAACTGCATCCCCCAAAATAATAAATAATATAATATTCCAAAGCAATTGAAGAAATTCAAATCTCATGAAAGGCTTAAAAAGTGTAGAAATGCTATTCTCTAGAGGTTTCCTAATCAATTCATCTGTTTGATGTTTGTAGAAAACAATTGGATCAGGGTAGATTGGGGAGAAATCTAAAACTTTAACCAGTTTAACTCTAATCATTTCTTCTGTGTCTGATTTTAAGAACTGTAAGTTCTGAGATTTTATTCCATTTGCAAATAAATGTTACCCTGCCAATTTCAAGGATCTTGGCAGGAAATGTGAGATTCTTGGTTTAGACAAAAATAACAGTACCTAGAATATCAACATTGCACCAGATCCCCAAGCTAAGGTCACAAATGCTTATAGGAAGAGGGTCAGGTAATTTCTGCATACTAAATGGGATGTGTTACAAGAGAGGACACTCAAGCTTAGGTACACTGAATCTTTTATAATAGTTGGTAAGCTTGCTTGGCCTTTGCCTCAATGGAAGATATTATCTTTTTAATCTGTACTAGAAAGAAAATTACTCTTTATTCTGAAGGGAGAGATGCTACCTCTATTTTCCAAGGCTGTTTGCTATACAAACATGCTGAAAAACTGTCTTGATGGAACAAAGAAAGTTAGAGACTGCTTACAAGACATGAAGAAATTTGGGGCATCCATTGAAGAATGACTCCAAATAGCAGATCTATTATTTTTGCTTATGCACATTAACCTAGTCACTGTCATTGGTCTGCTTGTCATCAAATTAATGATCTCTTTAGTGTGGCAGATCAAATACTGTTTGCCTTTACATGGCGATGTTACTTTTCCTATTCTCTTATAAACAGTCTTCAGTTATCTTGACTATGCTGATCACTTTCATATTCTGCAGAATGTCATGACTGTCTATTCTATAGATAGAATTGTGATTTGTGTCTTTATCAGTTTTGTGTTGCTTTAACAGAATATCCAGAACTTGGTAATGTGCAAAGGAAAGATGTTTATTTGACTTATAATTCTGTTGTAAACACATGAGGTCTCTGTCTAAAGACAACCTTCTTTGCTGGCAATATGGTGGAGAAGGACAAAGGAAAATGGCCTCATGCAGAAGGTGCATATATATAAGGAAGGAAGGAAGAGACTACATAGAGCCAGGCTTTTAACAACTCACTCTTATAGGAACAAAACCAGTCCTGTGAGATCTGACTCACTTCTGAGATGAGATATCATTACTGCATTCATGAAGGTGGATCCCCTACTACCTAATTATCCTCTACTAGGTCCCATATCTTAAAGCTTCTACCCCCTCAATATTGCCACAATGGAGACCAAGCTTCCAGCACATTAACCTTTGGGAAATAAATTGTGTTCAAATCATAGTACCTTGTAATCAAGGGGTGACAAGTACCTTCAGTGTTCTAGTAAGACGTAAATATGTCCTATAATATTTCCAGAGTAATGATCTGGGGAATATTGAGTTATTTCTTATAAATCAATGGCTCTTGATTAGGGATGATCTTATCTCAAAGAGACATTTGGTAACTTCTAGAGATGTTTTCAGGTGTTAAAAACAGCCAGAAGGGTGATGGCATCAAGTGGTAGAGGCTAGAGAAGCAATTAAACATCCTACAATGCATGAGGCAGTCCCTCCAAGAATTATCCAACCCAAAATCTTAGAAAAGATTTAGAAAACTCACTTTTAAGCAGTATATATGTTATCCCTTGAAAGTTCTACACAATGTAAAGTACAGTACACTTGGGCCTGTTTGCATTTTGTACATCATGTTCACAGCAACTGATAATACTGCTTTGATCCTTCAATTGAGTGACTTAAAGGCTGCATGATTTGAATGTGGCCTTGCACAAAAGAGGGTTTTATGTAGATTTATGTTGTAGTGAAGGCTACTCTGCCACTTGGGACATTCATATGGCTCCAGTTTACCCTTGTTCCTGGCCCTGGTACTTGTCTTCTTTCCAAGGCACAGAGGTTTTAGCCATAGTTCTTGCCATGCCCATGGTGATAAAGGCCTCACCATTTCTGCTTGTCCCACCAACACAGATGAAGGAGCCCCTATGTAAGATACTGACTAACATAAGGAGACCACTTTGAAATGGCTTTTAAATAAAATAGAGTTGAAAAGATTCCAGCTTCCCTCCTGGACACTTTAAAGGCAAGGAGGGTGATAACACAGCCTGAAAGTGAAGGGGAGTAAAGTGCCATGGGGCAGACCAGTGAGAAACAAGAGATGAGAAGAATGCAGTGGAGAATGTTATGCTTCCTACCACAGGTTGAGCTGAGGTACAGTCTAGATTAGCACTGCAGGACTCAGCATTTGACTGTTTTCCTACGAATGTGGAATATTCCAGCACAAGAGCATATCACATTGCAATTGCTTTCCCTTATTCATACCTCACTCTTTTTCTTCCTGTGCTCTTTTGTCCTCCTCAATGGAGCATTGGTACGTAGTTTTGCCTCAGGTACCAGAAAATGAGAGAACAATGAAATATAGTTTGTGAGGAGATTATATGGATGAGTTGAAGTTACATTATGGAGAATCTTCAATGTCAAACTAAAGATTAAAACTATGCTTAGGTTCCAAGACTGTAGGATTCTGTATTCACACAGAGTGGCAGGAATTGAACTCTACATCAATAAAGTGACTCAGTACCTGTCCAGTCATTCATTAGCTAATTAACCTGGGGAACAAATATTGCTGATTCTTTCTCTTCACATAATCCCTATGAATCTTTCACTTAATTGCAGGGGCTGTACTCTCTCCTACCCATAACTCTTCTGTTAGGAGTTGGGGAGAAAAGGTCTGCCAGAGATAAACCAAGGCTTCTGTGGGAAATTGGTTAACAAGAAAATCTGTAGTAACCACACCAAGAAATTTTCACTTCCTTACCTTTCCCTTCCTTAACAGAGGGTCTATTTGATACTCAGGAAATTTAAGAACCTCCAAACAGAACTTCTGTTCTATGACCATTATCAATGTCTCTATACTTGAGGCAGTTTTTGAAACCACCATGGAGTCTTGTGAGTATTGTGTTTCTGACTTACATATTTTTGAGGAGAAATAAAGACATAACTTATAAAATAGATGATCAATCAATCAATGTGAAAATTGCAAAATGTGTTTGGATTCAACCATCACCATATCTAATAGAAATGATCAAATCTGCAAGTTGGTTAAATATATCTTTCAATTTCACTTGTGATTTTTATGGTTTTAAGAAATGTAGTCTTTATGACTTAGGATGAGGGAAAAGAGAAATAATATAAAAAAAGTTAGTGTTGGATGAATTTCTGTACAATGAGTTTTGAGGTTAAAAAAAAGAGATGCAAGTATTGTTTGAAGGGAGAATAGTATTTTGATTGTACAAAGAAAATGCAAATCTCTGCAAGTACAGGCATGGTTCAGGCTGCCCTTTTTTATAAAAGAAGTTTACATCTATAAAGGAAATCTACCTTAGTAAAATAAATATCTAGAGGATGTAAACAGGCTTTAAAAAAATCTTACATGTCCCTTTCTGCCTAAGATCTTTTCACAGAAAGAAGAGATTGGGGTTTGATACCTGACTGAGAGATTACCAAGAGATTGCAGCAAGTGGCTGTTTCCTGGAAGACTTTGTCTGCAAAACAAGGCAAGCTTTGCTGGCTGCACTCACTCATCTCAACCTTCCATCGTCTGCACCACCTCCTTTACTCCTAGAAGTCCAAGGCCCTATCCTTTTGTTTAGCTCTATGTAAGCTTCCACTGTCTAAGCATCCTTTGAGTCTCATGTTGTTCGTGTGTAGTTTCTGTATTTAGTACATCAATAAATTTGTCTGGTTTCTTCACTATTAATCCACATATTGTGTTCCTTTATATACTAAAACTATTGAACCTTTAACGAAAAAGAACAAATTTAAAGCTTTGCTGCAACATTCACGTGGTATAGAGGTGTCTAATGGCTTCCTGCAGAAGCACACCCTCAGACAAAGATTCAAGAAGCAGTTTATTCAGGACAAAGTACCAGGAAAGAATGGGGAGAGTAGAAGAAGTGCAAACACAAAAGAAAGGAAGCCAAGAGAACCATTATCAAACTATTTACCACTATGGGCAACTGGAGACAGCTCAAGGTAACAGTGAACAACATACTTCAGAGTTGTCCCAATCAAGGTGGAGGTAGCCAGTATATTTATTTTCCAAGTCCTTATCTTTTATTGGATGAAGTCTACTCTCCTAAATTTGCTTTTAAAGTCATTAGCAAAGTTTGTCTTCTGTAATACATCTTTCCCAGGTGAAGGACTGGTACAAAACTGGAACTAAACAAATGTGTCTCCTCATCCAATTCTATGTGTGGCCAAACAGAAAACTACATCCCCAAATAGCAGGAGCAAGGCTCAAAATCATATGGTACTCCATGGACATTTGTTCATTGTGCTGTCAACCTGAAACATGAGAAAGAACACTGGTAAAGGAAGCACAAGATAAGGAAATTGGTACTCCAAAAATGCCATAACATCCATGAGTAGTGCGCCACACATGGAATGAAGGCATTCTGAATTCCAGTGATGGGCTCTGTTAGGTGCCTGGTCAGCCATGAATGACTGCACAGGGAAGGGACAATGAAGGATGACTGAAAACCACAGGGAGTCTTTTCTGACAAGCAAACATCTGGAAGATGGGGCTTGGTGTGTTAAAATATTTCCCAACCATAATTACATTCCCTTAAGGAAAATGTCAAAATCATGTCATGCCCTACCAGGTAGCCTGGACCCTGCCTTATCACGGCAGTTATGTCACTACTCCCAAACACTTGGTCAACCAAAGCATCAAGACCCTCACACAGAAAGCTTGCTGAAGGCTATACAAAGGTTAATAAACTGCTTAATGGGACAGGAAATTGAGGAAAAATGAGGGGGATTCAATTTCATTAAAATCTTCAACTCTGTGAGCAACATACCATCCTCTCTTGGAGGTAGTCCATGCAATTTCTATTCTCAATCAAAAGTCAAAATTTGTATCTAGGTGGGACTCTCTGGAAACTTCCCTGGAACCCCCAATAAAACTGGAGGGCAGGAGAGGCATACTGTCCTTCCCTTCTCTGAGAAGATCTACTCTCTCCCTTGACAGTGTCCCCTTTTCCCTTTTCCTATCCCTTTAATAAACTCATACCTGCTTTTCTGAGTGACATAGATGAAATCTTTCTGACACGATTGCAAGAACAAGTGAAAAGGAGACTTTGGCAGCTGCCTCAGCTTTGTGGCAGGCTTTTGCCCTGTAACACCCTCCTTCTAACATGGAACACAGCTTTTTTAATAACTTTACAACACCGCACAATACTTAGCTCACTGATCAGTAAGTGGTTGGAGATAAAAAGTTACTTAAGAATTGACTACGAATCAAAAAAAATTTTTGTACTTGTAGATGTACCCAATACCTTTATTTATTTATTTATCTTTATGTGGTGCTGAGGATCAAACCCAGGGCCTCACATATACTAGGCAAGTGCACTACCACTGGCCCACAACCCCAGCCTCTGACCATGAAATTTTTTGGAAAGGTAATATGTTCCTCAACACTACTCCCCAAATTCCTTATCTTAAATTCTCCCTTGCCAAAGCTCTCTCTTCATCTGTCTGATGGAGATGTCTCATTGCAAAGCCATGAGTGGAGCTAAACCTCAGAAGCCAACAACATTGATTCTTTCTAAATCTTCCACCTTCCAGGGATCTTTTCCTCTCAAACCCTACCTCTTAGCAAAGCTTTCAGTAGTGCCAATAAATCTGAGTCTATCCTATTATAGTAGTTAATGGACTAACAAACAGCTGAGCTTAAAAGTCATACCCAGTCAGGAGTAACAAATTATACAACTCAGGGTAAAAGCTCTATAAATATTGACTCCATCTAATTGTTTCTGTCAGAGAAAGAAATCTCATTGTGATAATGGCAATTTCTCCCTCCAGCACTGCCTTTGAACAGGGGTTCTTCAGATGTATTAGTATTACCAGAATTTAATTAATAATACTCATCTGAATTGTTCAATAAATAACTTCACCTATTGCTCAATGTAGTGATGACAAAATTGCAGGTTTTTCATAGTGAAACCTTGAAAAACATTGTGGTGAGAAGCAAAATGAAATCTGTGGAAAAACATGGATGTGCACCTGAGGAACTTCTGGATCTGGTGGCCTGAACAGGGACATGCACCTGTCAAACTTCCAGATCCTGGGGCTTAAACATGGACGTGTGCCTGAGGAACTTCCGGATCTGGGGGCCTAAACATGGAAGCCTGAGGAACTTCGGAATCCTAGAGTCTCAACATGGACATGCACCAAAGGAACTTCCGGATCCTAGAGCCTAAACATGGATGTGCAACTGAGGAACTTCCGGATCCAGGGGCCCAATCATGGAGGACTGAGGCATTTCTGCATCCCAGCGCCTAAACATGGATGCCTGAGGAACTTCCGAACCCCCGGGCTTAAACATGGACATGCACCCTAGGAACTTCCGAATCTGGGGGCTTAAACATGGACGTGCACCTGAGGAACCTCCGGATCCATGGGCCTAAATATGGACGCCTGAGGAACTTCCGGATCCGGGGGCCTAAACATGGACGTGCGTCTGAGGCACTTCTGATGCTAAGGCCTAAATATAGACGTGCGCCCAAGGAACTTCCAGATTCTAAAGCCTAAACATGGATGTGCGCCCGAGGAACTGCTGGATCCGGGGGCCTAAACATGGACGTTCCCTGGAACTTCTGGTTCCTTGTGCCTATAAAGGGCAGCGGGTGACTCTCAGAAGGGAAGTGGCCCATGAAGGGGAGCGGAGTATGGGGCCTGTTGGGAGACAGACTGAGCTGTCACACCCTGAACTTGAATGTGACGGTGGCCTCACTTCCCGGCCTTCTGTTATGCTCGAATTCGGGACCCCCAAAAGACCACCAGAGACCAAGATCGATGTAAACAGCAAAGAGGTGTTTATTGCGAGTTAGCTAGGTCCTCCACACGCACACAGCAACTGGTGATGCTGAGAGGCCCCATGCCCAGGGTTTGCAGCAGTTTTATACATTCTTTGGAGAAGGCAGGGACCCCCACATACATCATAGCATCTCTTAGCAAATCATCACACACCACGGGAAAATCATATAACAACTCTAAAACATGATTATCACATTCACTGGCGGGAACAAGTTGGGTAGGGGTGATTGGTTACTACAAGAGGGGGATTCATTGGAACTGATTGGTTTAATCCAAGAGGAGTGTTCGTGCTTAACTACATGGTTTCCCAACACGTTATCAACCACCATAAACTACTGGAAGGGTCATCTGGCATCCCAGGTATTTCCCTGTCTCATGCTGATTGGTGGCTGCTAGGGGGTTGCTATGGATCCTCACCTAGCCTGACTGAGTCAGGGACACCTGGCACAGCAAATCTCTCCTGTTATTTGTAGATAAACAACTTAGCAGGGTGGGAATGTGTCTAGGAGTGCTCTGTGGGTCTTTCCAAGGACAAAGGTGATGTCTCTTCCTTGGACAGGCTTTGCTCTGAGGTAGAGGCTGGTTTTTCACTTCCAGGTGGTGTGTCACTTCCTCCCCTTCCTGGGGAGGAAGTGAGACCAGGCACAGGGGCCAGGCCCTGAGGAGGGACACCGTCTTTCTCCTCGCTTAGCCAGGCGCCTGGCCTGGCTGGGGACGGGGACATCTTGTGACACTGGCTGCCTCCTGCATCCCTGCCCCAGGACCTCAAGGACCACAGGCGGGGACAATCGTTGATTCTCCCCTGGCCGCTGACCCTCAGCCCCGGGATCTGCCCAAGGAGAGTTCTGTCTCCCAGAGGGACAGGGGGTCCCTGTGACCTGCTGCTCCTTACCCACCGTCATCCTGGGCAAACACAGGTCAGGACACCAGACACTACTGAGAGTGACATCTCCTGGATGGGTGGCTGGGGACTTTGCCTCTGTCCCCAGGCCTCGGACACCAGATGATCCCCCCAAGAGACAGAAAATAACCCCACACTGCCAAAGACTTATTTCTAAGCTTTGGATTCTGAAATTTTCCTGCTGCCACCTTCTTTGTGAAGCCAGTTTTTCAACAGAGTCAATATTCTTGGGGCGGGGTGGGGAGGAACCTTGGAATCAATCAAACCAAGCTGACATATCTGGTCCTCCAAGAGAAATCTGGATTGGAAGGAGAACAGCCATTCTCAACTGGCAAAATAATGAAATTCCCTTGTCCTTATTTTGTGTAAGCAAAATAAATACTCTGATGTTAATCATCAAATTATTTTTGATGAGTGCTTGGCTCATAGGAAAACTGATTCTGTTTTGTGGAATGAAGTGTTACCTGATTTTAAAATTTAAAATGAAGCCAATTAGGATTGTTAAATTACACTGTCATAATTCTGTTCTTTGATAGCAGAAATAAATAAACCTTTTTTTTAAAAAAAAAAAGAAATTTGTGGAGGGCAAGGTAGCATTGTGAATCAACCAAGACTGAGAAAAATTGCATTCTGTGGAGCCAAATTTGCTTGAACAGCTGTATTGTTTTTCACTTCATTCTTTAGGCCACCAGTCAGACAAAGACAAAAAAAATTCTTCTTTTCCTTTGTTAAGGCTTATATGAACTCTTGAATCTATTTGTCCATCTAGAAAGATAACTAGAACCCACCTAGAGAAGAGGAAATGACTGTTAGTCAAGGAGACCAAGGTGATTTATCATGGTTAGGGCAGGAAGTCACTCCTATAAATGAAAGAAAAGAAAGTAACAGAATGAAATGTACACCAAAATAGATTTGCAGAGAAAAATGAATAATCATACAAAGTTAAACAAAGAAGTGACTTTTTAAGTAATTCAATTCAC